GTACTTTTCATATAGTTCTTGAGTATCTATTTTTAAATCTAATTTAATTTTAAAAATTAATCAAATTGATTTTTGAAAAATATAACATGACAATAAAAATCGACAGAAAAAGTAACATATATTAAGTCCGTGCTAAAACGGATCCTGCATCTAGTATATATATAAAAAAAAAAAAAAAGGAAGCAAGACACAAGCAAAAGCAGAAACAAAAAGTATAGCACAGGGGGGAAAATGGGGATGACCCTAAAGCCTTAAAAATTATAGGTCAATTGAAGAAGAGTAGGTGTTTGATGAATGCATAGAGAGAAAGACACGTACACAATGCAGCCTTTGAAAAGTTGAAGTGATAATAATTTCCCTGCCTGGCTTATCACTTTCAGACGGGAAAGCAGAATGACAAAAATACCCCTATTTGGCAATAGTTGAAAAGTGTTCGACAGTTTTCCCTTCTGTATAATATATCTATAATAAGTACATGTACTGTATGAAAAAAATAAAATAGTACAATTTAACTTGCTTTTGGTACAACTTTTTTATTCTATGTTAGTCCTCTCTAACTGTCTCTTCTAAATAAGGGTAAGGTAATGATAGAACCCAAGGAGAAGCTGAAACAGAGCAATAATCACACATACATGATACGACTCAAATTTGAACTTGGAAAAGAGATTGTTACCTGAACTGTATTTGCTCTTTCTGCGTGTTTGGAAATTTCAACAATGGCAAAGCGCAAAATTTATTAATTTCCTGTAAATAAATAGACAAAATAAAGAAAGAATCAAAGAAATTAAGAACGTTTGATAGTATTTTCTCTACAATTTCAAGAGCTTTAGAAAGAATAACCTAGAATGAAAAAAGTGGGAATGAGTTAACTATTGGAAAAAAACTGCACTAAGCAATAACAGGTGGCTTATGAAAGAAGTACCAATTTATGCCTTGAAATTACCAAAATGGCCTTACTTGTCTATTTGTTGAAATTGCACGGTACAACTTTTGCAGCCAACGGTACAACTTTTGTAGCCATGTTGGTCCTTCACAACTCTTGCAGCCAAGGGTACAACTTTTGCAGCCATGTTGGTCCTTTCCAACTCTCACTTCTAAATAAGAGTAATATAGTAATGGATACTGATTACGAGAAAAACATGTTGTGCATGGGTGTACGTGCATCCGTTAACTTCGAAAAAAAAAGATATATATATATATATGTGTGTGTGTGTGTATAACTTGAATATGAGATATATTTTATTAGTATTTAGGGCATCTCCAACCCTGTTCTCTATTTCACTATCCAGATATATAGTTCTCTATTGTTTCAGACAACCAACTCCAATTCAATTCTTTATTTTACTCTCTAAAAAAGAATCTTTTTCTCTCTCCTCAATATTATATTATTATTTCTATTTCATTCTTATTTGCTTATTTCATAATATATATCCCTTTTTTTTTCTTGAAATAATCACTTTTATATAATTTTCATGTAATATAAATTTTGTTTTTTCAAATTCTTTTTTTAATATAAAATTATATTTTATTCTAAATTTCTAAATAACATAAATTAGAAGCAAATATTATATAGTATACAATTAATGAACAATTCAAATAAAAGTGAAATCATTAATGAAATATAATTATACAAGCATTACATAAATACCTAACTTTCAAGATTATTACGTTGCTCACAATAAATACTCTATTAACACATTATGAAGTTCAAAATGAGCAGTTTTATCCGTAATTTTTTTTATGTCTAGCGAAAAATTGTTCAAATCGAAGATTTTCATCTACCACCATTTTTGTCGTTGCAATTGGAGCCTCTACGACATCTTGAATTGGTGCATTAAGATTACGTTCATCCTCGATTATCATGTTGTGCAATATAATACATGTAGTCATTATATCATGTAGCACTTCTTTTTTCCAAAAGCGTGATTGTCCTACGATAATTGCAAAACGTGATTGCAAACCTCCGGATGTACGTTCAACATCTTTTCGGCTCGATTCTTATTTCATCGTGTAATATTTTTATTTTAAAAAATATTATATTACATTTAAGAAGAATTATAAATATTAGAGATTTAATTCATAACTTTATATGAAAAATAATATGTTAATTACAAAATAATAGAAATAATAATATAATAATGAAAAAGTGAAATAGAGAGTGTGAATAGTAGTTCTCCAAATTTGGAGATCTACTATTCAACTCTCTATATATGGAGAATAAAGAGTGAAATGGAGGGTGGTTGGAGAGCATATTCTCTATTTTACTCTCCAAATATAGAGTATGGAGAGTAAAATAGAGTGGGGTTGGAGATGGTCTTATATGATGCTAAAGTTAATTGGGTCTACGGTTTAAACCTCAGGTGTCTCTTCATTCTGAGATGATCGAACTGGGTTCGAATCATCCCACTTACTGTAGTTATTTAATTCAAATTTATATGTTATTAAATTAGTTTTATATTTCTATGTTTAATAAAAATAACACATGAATCGATATTGGGTGACATGTTTTAACTACATGCATTAATTATTGATAGTTCACCAATCGTCTTCAAATCCTGAGTTTGCCTCTGTGCATAGCCCAATATTTATTTTTTAAAGTGGTGTTAATTAAAAGTGAGTGTTATATAATATATCAAACATGAACTATGTATTTATTGTAGGGAAAATGGTCTGATATACCCCTCAACTTTGTCATTTAGAGCTGATATACCCCTCGCTATAAAAGTAGCTCATATATACCCCTACCCTACTGTTAAACAAATGACTCACATATACCCTTTTCCTCTAACGGGAGTGAAAAAATTAATTTTAGTTTAATTTTTAAGTTATTTTAAAAATATATAATTCCATATGGGTATATTTAATCCTCCTCAAACATATTATTTTTTTTAAAATTTTTTTGTTTCAATGACTAATTTAGATTTATTATTTTGATGGTCAAATTTATTTAAGTTTTGCTAATATTCTTGTAAAATTTATTATAGATGACCCAATTTTTTCTTCAAATACAAAAACTAAATTACAATATATTCGAAAAAAATAGTTTTAAATTTTTTTCTTTACACTTAGGAATGAAAGAAAAAATAAAATAAGAATAAGAAACTCAAATAATGATAATCAAAAAGCCAAAAAATAATTACAATATATCCGAAAAATAATGATAATCAAAAATACAAAAACTAAATTACAATATATCCGAAAAAAATAGTATTAAATTATAATATAGCCACAAAAAAAATAGTTTTAAACTTTTTTCTTTACACTAAGGAATGAAAGAAAAAATAAAATAAGAATAAGAAACTCAAATAATGATAATCAAAAAGCCAAAAAATAATTTATGTCCGAAAAACATTAAAATATACCTTGAAATTTACTAGAAAAATCATATATACCCCTAAATATTTTAAAAAAAAATCAAAAGTCAAAAATATAAATTTAAAACTAATTTTTTCACTTCCGTTAAATGAAGCGTATATGTGAGCTCATTTTGTAACGGTAGGGGTATATGTGAGCCGTTTGTATAACAATAAGGGTATATATGAGCCACTTTCATAACGAGGGACATATCAACTCCAAATGACACAGTTGAGGGGTATATCGGGATCTTTTCCCTTTATTGTATATACCTACATTATTGAAAAATTACATGGTATGACTATACTTCATTTTTTTCCTAGCATATCTCCTCTCTCTCTCTCTCTCCCTCTCTCCTAATGTCACGACCCAGACCGTCGTGATTGGCACCCACACTAACCCTTCGGTGGGAGAACAATCACTACAACCCAAACTAAATAACTTAGTGAAAAACTAGGTATTTAAAGATACAGAAGCAGGTTTAAATGACAATAAAAATGGAGTCCCCATAAACTCCAAGGGTTCAATTGAAACAACAAACCATAACTAATGCGAAAATTCGACCCCTAGAACCTGAAAGTCATTGTACCAAAACTCAAATTAGCTAACAAGTCTAAGAAAATGGGGTGCATCCCCGAAAACTAAACAAAACACCCTAAACAAATAGTCTAAGTCCGAAAAGAGGGGACTTAAACAAGAGAGATCCATAACAGCCTGAAAGAATTGGCTCACCCTTGAATCCGATCACGCTCAAAAGTTACCTAACTGAGGTCTGTCAGTAGCCACCTGAAGATGCCATGTACTCAACAAAGAAAGAGCAAGTGTAGTATTAGTACACAACCACAGTGTACTGGTAGGATCACACGGCAATTGTAGTAAGCGAAACATACATAAGCAGTCACAACATAGTAAAACACGACATGTATAGAATATATATATAGACACATATACCAGTTATCATTTCAAGAACAACTTACAGTTCCACATTCTCATTAACAAGTAAATATGACAATTCAATGGTCCTCTCATGGAACCCATGCCCAAACTGTTAGTGTGCCGGAACATGATACCTAATCCCAATTAGTGTGTCGGAACGTGACACCGATCCAATATATGTGTTGGAAGGTGATACTCGATCCCAATTAGTGTGTCGGAAGGTGATATCCGATCCCAATTAGTGTGTCGGAATGTGACACCCGACCAATATATGTGTCGGTACGTGACACCCGATCCAATATATGTGTCGAAACGTGACACCCGATCTCAATTAGTGTGTTAGAACGCGACACACAATCCAATCAACATACCACAATTACAATTACAATGTACATTCTCATAATCATACAATCAAGTGTTGATTCATGGCATACAATCATTCATTCATACTCATTTACATTAGGTTTGATCAATAATGCTACATTCACATACATATATGCATTACAACGAAGCAAATACCAACATACATCACACAAACATGAAATCAAATCATCACCTACCTCGAAATCAAGCTTGAATACCTCTAAGGCACTTGCATCTTCCCTTTTCGGATTCTTTTCGCTTGTTCTAGGTCTACAAACAATTATACGCAAGGATCAATAATTAAGGTCTAATTATCCGAAGTATAACAAACCAAATAACCCAAGACCAACCCATGATACCAATACCCAATTTAGGGCTTTTTCCACCATTAACTTCAGATCAAAACCTTCCTCCAATAATAATTACCAAAGAATCTAAGTTCTACGAATCAAAAAATGGATTAGGGGAGTAAAATCCTTACCTTTAGTGCTAGAAGAAGTGGAAAACCTTCCAGAAATAGCCTTGGATCGTTTCTTAGCTCTCAAGAACGAAACTTGCAGAAAAATAACATTTTTAGGTTTTTTCACCGATTTAAGTTGCGACTATCCCGCTATATCGGGACCCATCCCGGTACATCGGTCCTACTCTGGCGGCACTTATCCCGATTTGACGGCTTACATGGAGACAGAACGTCGGAATTTGAGTTCCAAGCTCCCATTTCACAACACATTTTGAACCCTTGACGTTCAAAAACCACCCGTTCATGCTAAGATTATTTTCGAGAGTTCTACTCGCTCGAATTCGATTCTGTAAAGTCGTACGGGTTCCTTAACGTATTAGCTATCTATTCATGTGATCAAATTCATAATTAGATCTCTCATTCATTATCAGATTTCCCTAGACCTCACTGACACAGATTTCATCCAAATTTGGACTAGGCTAGGAATTCCAAGTTACTACTCAAAAGTTTTTCGGCCCAAATTCTTTCCCCATTAACTTTTTCATAACGATGGAAACATGTCGTTACAATAGATACCAATGTACCCATCACTCGTCCCCGAGTGATAAACTAGGAAAAACTTTGCTAAGGTAAGAATAGAGTAGTATCTGAATCGTCGAATAGCTAGGGATACTTGTCTCGAATATCCTTCTCGGTTTCTCAAGTAGCTTCCTCAACCGGG